GGGCGTTGGAGCTGCTGCTGGTGCTGCGGACCCGAGCGGTGGCGCGGCTGCTGGTGCTGAGGACCCGGGCGTTGGAGCTACTACTGGAGCTGAGGACCCGGACGGTGGAGCTGCTGCTGGTGCTGAGGACCCGAGCGGTGGCGCTGCTGCTGGTGCTGAGGACCCGAGCGGTGGAGCTGCTGCTGGTGCTGAGGACCCAGACGTTGGAGCTGCTGTTGGTGCTGAGGACCCTGTCGCTGGTGTCCCTGCTGGTTATGGAGACGCTACGCGACCGCGACAACACTTCGTACCACTTCTTCAGCAGGTTCTTGGTCAGGCTCCTCCTCCTTGTCCTCCTTCCTCCGTAGAGTGTCCTCCGCCTGTCCAGTCACAGTCACAGTTCCCGCCTGCCTCGCCTCTCCCTGCTCCCTCTCCTTACACTGGTCCCACGGGAGGTCTTACAGAGCGTCGTGAGCCTGAGTCTCGTCCTGCGTCGCCTGTTCGTACTGCTCGCACTGGTCGTCGTGTCCCACGTGAGCGTCCTCCTCCTGTCCCTGGCACTCACTACATGACTCTGCGTCCCTCCACTGCTCCTCAGCGTGTTACGCTGCCGTCTCCTCCTGCTTCCTCTCTGCCTACTCTTCCTGATCCGGAGTCTGACTCCCGTCGTGCTGCCAGTCCCACTGTCACCCGTCTCCTCGCTACTGTTGTCACTGACCCTACCTTTGAGTCCTCTGCTGCGTCTGCTCTGGTCGCTGAGTTGATAGACTTTGCTGCCCGGTGTCGTCTAGACTACGCCACTAGCCTTGTTGCTGAGTCTGAGTCTGAGTCTGTCTGTCCTCCGTCCGTCGGGGGTGAGTGTGCTCTTGGCACGGACGTCCTTGAGGACAGACAGGAGGAGTTCCAGTGCTTTGCTGCTGCTTTACCCCACCTCGTGTCCATGCTAGTTGCCCCTGAGGGAGACCCGGATGCACCAGACATCCCGACCCCGCGCACTTACGCTGAGGCGATGGCGGGTCCCTACTCCTCTCAGTGGCAGACAGCCATGGACGCAGAGATGGCTTCCTGGAAGTCCACAGGCACCTACGTCGACGAGGTTCCCCCACCTGGGGCGAACATCGTCAGTGGCATGTGGATTTTCAGGGTGAAGCGGCCACCGGGTTCTCCTCCGGTCTTCAAGGCGCGCTACGTGGCTCGAGGCTTCAGTCAGCGAGAGGGAGTTGACTTCTTCCAGACCTTCTCCCCCACCCCGAAGATGACCACTCTTCGGGTGCTGCTGCACATAGCCGCTCAGCGCGACTACGAGCTTCACTCGCTTGACTTCAGCACTGCTTTCTTGCAGGGCAGCCTGCACGAGGAGATCTGGCTGCGCCGCCCTCCTGGCTTCACTGGGTCGGTTCCTCCTGGTACCCAGTGGAGGCTTCAGCGGCCGGTCTACGGTCTCCGCCAGGCACCACGTGAGTGGCACGACACACTGAGGACGACACTTGCGGCTCTTGGGTTCGCTCCCTCTACTGCTGACCCGTCACTGTTTCTACGCACAGACACCTCACTGCCGCCGTTCTACATCCTCGTGTACGTCGACGACTTGGTCTTTGCCACTGCTGACACCGCGGCACTCGCCCACGTGAAGTCGGAGCTGCAGAGGAGACACACGTGCACAGACCTGGGTGAACTGACAAGCTATCTTGGCTTGCGGATCACCCGGGACAGAGCACGGCGCACCATCACCTTGACTCAGTCACACATGGTGCAGCAGATCCTTCAGCGCTTCCGCTTCACGTACTCCTCGCCTCAGTCCACTCCTCTGCCTACCGGTCACTCGCTCTCAGCTCTGCCTTCGGATGAGTCCGTAGAGCCGAGTGGCCCGTATCCAGAGCTTGTGGGCTGCCTCATGTACCTGATGACCTGCACTCGACCTGACCTTGCATACCCTCTTAGCATCCTTGCGCGCTATGTCGCTCCTGGCCGTCACAGGAAGGAGCACATGGATGCCGCTAAGAGGGTGTTGCGCTACTTGTGCAGTACGTCGGGCATGGGGCTAGTGCTTGGAGGGCGAGACCGAGTTGTACTTACTGGACACTCAGACGCTTCTTGGGCGGACGACCAGGCTACTCAGCGGTCGTCTCAGGGTTACACCTTCAGCCTTGGCTCCGGCTCAGTTTCTTGGCGTTCTACACGCTCTTCTTCTGTTCTCAGCTCCAGTTGTGAGGCTGAGATCTACGCCACAGCCATGGCTGCCCAGGAGCTACGCTGGCTGACCTACCTGCTGACCGACTTGGGAGAGCGGCCTCGTTCTCCTCCAGTGCTGTACGTCGACAACCAGGCTGCCATTGCCTTGCGTGAGGAGCACAGACTGGAGCACAGAACGAAGCACATTGCCCTGCGGTACTTCCTTGCTCGAGAGCTGCAGCAGCGTGGTCAGCTTCATCTGCGTTACGTGGCCACTGAGGCCAACCTTGCGGATGTGTTCACTCAGGCGCTTCAGCCTTGTGACCATCAGCGTTTCTGTACTCTTCTAGGCCTTGTGCCTGCTGGACCCCACTTGCTTACTTCTTGACTCTGCTTGTACTGTGATCTTTATATATATGCCTGCATGTTTACACTTGCTAGGTTGTTATCACTGTTTCTCTTGTTATATTATCAACCTGCATGTGAACTGGCCTTGTGGCCACTTGCTTGTGCTCGGAATTTGTGTGGTATCCTTGAGATCCACCCTGAGCTTGTTTTGCTTTGCTTTGACTGGTCTTGTGACCCCTTGCTCTCCCCCACTTTGCCTATGGGGGTGTGTCAAACATTATATGTGTTGTGCTTGTTTAGGCTACAGTGGGTTAGCCTATAGGGGGTACACAATTCTAGGGTTAGGTACTTGTACTCATTTCACTGCTAGTTCACTCATTCCTCGTTCAGTTATTCTGACAGCTTGTAGGCTTTATCTTGATTGTTGTCACTGCAACTGTTGTCGCTGCCGCCGCTCGCTGCCTATCTTCTTCTTCGAAGCCGCGTGTGAGCTCCTCCAACGGATTGCCGCTCACCGCTTGACCAGTGCTCTCGCCTTCTTCAGCGGGCGACTCCTGGCGCGCTTCACCTCGCGCCTGGCGTAGCTCGTTGTTTTCTTCACGTAGTCTCTCCACTTCTGTCGTTAACGCCTTCATGCCTGCCGACATCTCTGCCATTTGCTGCATCAACGCGTCAAATGCCGCCTGGTCCATGAGTCGCAAGCTACGTCTAACAGGCAACTGGGTACCCGTGATTATCCGGCAACAGTGCAAGCGCAAAAGCTATCGGAGTCGGGCAAGTTTAATTTAATAAACTTTGCAACCAACCGCTTTGCAGCCCACCGTACCAATCACACCCGTGCCACTAAACTACCCTGGAAAAGCGGGGTGAACTAGGAAAGTAGCTCTGATACCAGGTGTTATGAGTTGTCAAACAGAGTTGCGCGGAATAACGAATAACGAGGCTGTGACTCAATGAACTGACGATACAATGAAAGGCATGCGATTATATAGCGAGGCAACCTAGCTAGGCGAGAATCTCGGGAACACGAGGTTGAGTGCAGGTTGGGCAAAGGAAAACCGAAGGCGACGCGAGGTTGCTTCGGCAGCAAGCAAAGCGGCCGAACGTGCACTTCCGAAAGTTGGGGTTGTACGCGGTTGAGTAAACCCCAGTAAGGAAAAAAGGGTTTTCCTTACATATAGCGCCCCATAAAAGTTACCATTGACATATTTTCCCAATGTCATTCCCAGACAAGCTTCGCTGCCAAGGGTTCCCGCACCCAAGTGGAACCACTACTTGGGCAGAATGCATTAGAAAGCTTCGTCTGCCGCGGAGGTATTGCCCAGACCCGATTAGCTCGCATTGAGGCTCCAGCAGCCAGTTTCGCCAGCTAGTTAATCCCTTGGCCGCGGCTGGGGTTCCAGCCCTACCATACCAAGTTCTCTTGTCGCGCGTTTGCACCTTCGCGCCCTCGTCGCGTCGGCTCGCACCGTCAGCCTTTTCCACGTTAGGAAATGGAGCACCGCTGCCACATGCACAGCCTTCCCGACGAGATCCTCGTCAGGATCCTCTGGCTCTCCTCCTCCAATCACCAGCCGTCGACGTCCACGTGCAAGTCTGCCAGCGACGCATTATGGGCCGTGTTGCATCCGAAGCCCAGGTTCATCTATTCGGACCCCTCCGTAGATCCACCCATCCAGCCCGCATTCGACCACGATTACCGTGCGGACGACAAGATTCCGTTGCAGTCGTTACCCGCTCCTATCCTCGCAGACGCCGCGCTAAATCTCCTCATCGCGTCCGTCTGCCGCCGCTGGCGAACGATCACTCGGAGTTACATCACCACGCTTTTCATCAGGAAGAACATCGTCGTTTCCCTTCAGGACCTTTCGAGCGCCGTCGCCTGCTTCTCGAATCTCACCCATCTCCATCTGAGCGACCGCAGCGTGGAAACCATAGACGATGCGTTTTTCACTCACCTCGCCACGTCATGCGGGCCCAAGCTGACAGCCCTCCACGTAGGACGTGGAATTACGCATACTCTGGGCAGTGATGATCCTCACTGCGATTCCAGGATGAATCTTCACCCTGTATCGGAATCCGGCTTACATCGATTCTTCCAGCGTTGCTCTCACCTGCAGCAGCTCTCCCTTTACTGCCTCCATCCAGACGCTAAGCTACCGCCTTCCTTTTTCCAGCTAACGGATCTGCACACGCTGGTACTGACAGACGCATCCGCGTTAGAAGCTCCTGATCTGGGGAATCTCAGTTCCCTCACCACCCTCCTTATCGCATCTCTGAAACTCACGCGTCAGCAGCTCTACAACCTCGTTCGCCTGCGCAGCCTCACCAGCATCTCCATCTCGCAAGCAACGCAAGTTGATCATTCGGCTGCTCTCCCCATCGCACAGCTTCCCAAGTTAAAGTCGCTGGAATTCCGGGGATGCTGTCCCGAGTTGTTCCCGTCGGGAGCGGCGAGCAGCAGCGTGGAGCGGCTGTTCATCTCCCACTATGAACGGCGGATGGCCCTTCGTCACGACATTGCACAGCTGCTGCCGCGCCTTCGGGAGCTCTCCATTCGCGAATGCGAGATGTTTCCCGAGCTGCCCGAGAGCTTTACTTCCCTCAGCAATCTGGAAACTTTGATCATCTCCTCCTGTGAATATTTTTACAGCCTGCCCGGGAATTTTGGGCAGCTGCCTGTTTTGAAAACGTTGGTGCTGGACGCGCTGTAATTCCGCGAGCTTCCAGACTCCTTCTGCCAACTCACATCCCTGGAAACTTTCATCCTGACCGAATGTGGTGAGATGGACCAACTACCTGACGAATTCTGCAACCTCACATCGCTCCAGACCCTCTGCATCATGCACTCGGAAGAGTATGAGTACCCGATTCCAGACGGCATTGCAGGGTTCCCTCGACTCCATACACTTTATTTGAGGAGTGTTTCCGTGCATGAGCTCCTGCCGTCACTCCCCCAGTTGACTAGCTTGACTCGGTTGGAGCTGGACAGGTGCCTGATGGAGGGAGGCCTTCCTGGAGACCTAGGCGAGCTCAGTAACCTGCAGCAGCTGCACATCAGCTTCTGTCCTGTGAGGAGCCTGCCAGCGTCCTTCACTGCGCTCACGAGCCTCCAGATCCTCACCATTGAGCATTGCACTCCCCTCGCTTCCATAGCAGCAGGGAGCCTGCACAACCTGACGAGGCTTAAACAGTTGGAGCTGGCAGGTTGTCACCTGCGGACTGAACCGCCTCACTTGCTGCCTCGCTCTCTTGAGGTTCTGAGCTTAGAGCTCCCCCACCGAGTCCCCTCCTTACCAGACCTCTCCATGCTGACGAATCTAAGGAGAATGACTCTGAATCTGGAGGGCACAGGACAAGGAGCAACCGGAATCTGCAGCAGCAGCAGCAGCAGCAGTAGCAGCAGCAGAAGCTGGCATGATTTGAAAAACCTGGAGCAAGTGGAGTATTTGGAGGTGACCATTGGACAGGCCGTTGAGGCGTTCCCGTTCCCTCGGTTTCCTTTCCCGCAGCTTCGCGTCTTGAAGATCTCCTTTGGCACCCGGATTCAAAAGCTCCCACTCCACCTCGGGTGCGATCTGGCGCAGCTGCGGAAGCTGCACTTGTACTGCATGGAGGGAGTGACAGAGCTGCCACACACCATCACACAGCTACAGCACCTCACATCGCTGGACGTAGGATACGCCTCCCACCTTGCCTCCCTCCCAGATGGAATCGGTGCCTTATCCAGGCTGAGAAGGCTGTGCCTGTCCCACTGCTCGGCACTGCAGAACCTCCCCACCTCCCTCACGCGCCTCACGTGTCTTCACCAGCTGAATGCGGAGGGCACAAGCATCCGCACCCTTCCCAGCGTTGCCCAGCTGACCAGGTTAAAGTGGCTCTACTTGGGAAAGTGCAACCAGCTGCAGGCGCTGCCGGAGGGTTTGACTGATCTCAAGCTGCTGCGGTTCTTGGGGGTGAAAGGGAGTGACGTTGCGATCGGCAGTGTAAATGAGGAGCAGGAACGTGGCTTTCAGCAAATGTATGACTTCTGGACAGATGTTGCTCTAGAGTAGCCTACCTTCTCTTCATGACTTGGCTGGTCGCAGTCGGCATGCTTGGACTTGGGGCGGCTGTATGCTCTTGGACTGCTATCAAGGAGCTCTTGGTCTTATTGGCTGAGAGTACCTTAGCAGTGAAGATTCCAGAGATTGTAGGAGCTTACCAGTTAGATACTACAAATGGCCAGCTACTTGTGGCCCAACAACCGGGCTTAAAGAGTGATGGAAAAATATCACAACAAAATTAATATGGTTATACGCCCTATTGAAGTGCAAGGAACAAATTCCTTACCGTGGGAAACCCGCGTAGTCATAACAAGCATCCGTACTGTGTAGGGTGGATTATCTACATTTCCCCACTCACAGCCAACCAGTACCTGAGCTATATCTCACCGTGCGTTTACACAAGGCATATCGCGTACGGCATGGCGGAGCAGGCAGAGGCACCTCAGCACGAGTTTGTGTACCGGATTAGCCCGGAAGCAGAATGGCGCGCAGCGCAGGATGCTGGATGCTTCGTGGGTAGCGATTTTGACAGGCAGAGCGGGTTCATCCACCTCAGCACGGCCGACCAGGTCGATCTACGGTGACGCCCCGCCATGATGCTCCCATTCGCACGTCCACTCCAGAGACAGTAATCCTCGCCGCCGCTGCTGCTGCTGTCCGTGGTTTTTGCTTGCGTGGCAGGTGGGCGGCACGCTGCTGATGTTCTTCCCGGGTCGGGACGACCTCATGCTGCTGCAGATCCGCGCACACGCGGTGAGCGCACGCGCGGGGGAGAGAGTGGGGCGCGGTAGGAAGGGGGAACAGAAGGGTGGCGCAGTGGGGAGATATGGAAGTGCGTGGCGGCAGTGAGAGGGAAGAGGACGCATTGGAAGTGTGAAGGGCAGTGAAGCGGGGCGTTGTGGGCCAGGTGTGAATGAGCGGGTGGGGGGATGAGCAACACATGGCAAGGCAAGGTTACGGCAGTGCGGGAGAGGCCGAGATAGAGGGGCATGCGAGCGAATGTCTCTCCATGTCAACGCCCCGTCGTCTTCTCATGTGCCACCCTGTTCAATTGCTTGCATGATGCCGCCTCCTCGCTTTGCTCGCATCATTTTTTCTCTCCTGCCCCGGTTGCAGCTCGGATCAGGACTGGTGTACGAGCGTGTGCCGGACCTGGGTCACTTCCCCCACTTCTACAGCCCTGCGCCTCCCGCCAACTCCTCTGCCAGTGACGGCCGTGAAGGGGCGGGCGAGGGTGCGGGTGAGGGTGCGGGTGAGGGGGCGGGGAGCAGGGGCATGCCTCTGTCAGCCGTGGTGCAGGCAGTGAAGCTGCCTCTCTCCGACGGCGTGCATGTGCTGCCGCCCTTCCTCTCCGCCTCCTGACCCCGTGCCGTCCAGCCCTTCCGCAATCGCCACCCGTTCTCATGGCAGCAGTTTTGGAAGCGAGGACAATGCGAGGCACAGGAGGCACAGGGGGCTTTGAACGGAGATTCCTTCTGTGCCACTCTGCATGGTGTGTACATTGGCTGACGGATGAGTTAATGAGGGAAAGGGCGCCCTGCAGGACAAATGGCGTTCTGCTGGAGTTGCCAGAATTCTTCTACCTACTTTAGATCCTACGTAATCATGGGTCAGCAGCTGTGCAATCATGTGCGGGAATCAAATTGGCCAGAAAACGCAAAGCAGAAAATCCAGAAGTTAGAACCTTGTATTGCAATAAGTTTCTGTTGTCCACACAACTGTGTTAATTGTGGGTGTCGAGATTCATATCGTGTACAAGTTTGGGGATAAAGGCACATCAATGAATGACATGCATATCGAGGGGTGTTGATAAGGGGCTCAGACACATGCCGTAGCAACCAGAGCGTCCAGCGGCGCATCCACAGCAGCCATGGCGGGCGACGCGTGCCAGTCGGTGGCCGTGGAGCGAGTCACAACGCCCACTGCGGTGAGTCCCTAGGGGTATGTCGCACAATCGGGGCAAGTCGCACCCTTGATCCCACTCCCTACCCACTTCTCGCCATACTACTCTCAATCACCCCGACCTTTCCGCTCGAACCAACGGCCTGTGGGTTGTTGCGCGCATCGATGGTCTTGCCGCGTACCCACGTTGCAATCTCGCCGCGTGTCCCCCTCCCGCTGCGCGCCGCTGCTGCGCGCCGCGCAGTGGCAGCAGCACATGGCGGTGCGGTGCGCGGTGTTCGTGCAGGAGCAGCGCGTGCCCGTGCACGAGGAGGTGGACGCGCACGACGGGCTCGGCGCGCTGCCCGCCGTGCCGCCCTCCGCCATGCACTTCCTCGCCACCGTGCATGGGGTGCCCGCTGGCGCAGGTCGGTGGGGGTAGGGGTAGGGGAGCGGGGGAGAGTGGGAAAGGGAGGGGGAGAGGTGGGGAGAGGGGGAAGGGGAGGAGGAGAGGGACGGGGAGATGGAAAAGGAGGGGGGGGGGGAGGGGGGGAGATGGAGAGAGGGAGAAGAAATGGAGGGGTGTGAGTGGGAGTGATGGTTGTGCACTAGGATGGTCAGAAGTGGAGCATTGCAGGCAGAAATATCATTTTGTAGGGTTTGAGCATACATGGTGCATAGTGCATGGTGCATAGTGCATGGTGCATAGTGCATGGTGCATAGTGCATGGTGCATAGTGCATGGTGCATAGTGCATGGTGCATAGTGCATGGTGCATAGTGCATGGTGCATAGTGCATGGTGCATAGTGCATGGTGCATAGTGCATGGTGCATAGTGCATGGTGCATAGTGCATGGTGCATAGTGCATGGTGCATAGTGCATGGTGCATAGTGCATGGTGCATAGTGCATGGTGCGTGGGGTTGGGCTGACTGGATGGCAGGCTGCGCCCAACTATATTCTGTTCCCCCCACTTTCTGTTGCTGAGGGAGTGTGGCTCACAGGCGTCATGCCATTCCCCAACACTGTGCTGCCATGCGCCACCGCACCCCATGGCATGCCATGACCCCACACCCCATGGCATGCCATGACCCCACACCCCATGGCATGCCATGACCCCACACCCCATGGCATGCCATGACCCCGCACCCCATGGCATGCCATGACCCCGCACCCCATGGCATGCCATGACCCCACACACCATGGCATGCCATGACCCCACACCCCATGGCATGCCATGACCCCGCACCCCATGGCATGCCATGACCCCGCACCCCATGGCATGCCATGACCCCACACACCATGGCATGCCATGACCCCACACACCATGGCATGCCATGACCCCACACACCATGGCATGCCATGACCCCACACACCATGGCATGCCATGACCCCACACACCATGGCATGCCATGACCCCACACACCATGGCATGCCATGACCCCACACACCATGGCATGCCATGACCCCACACCCCATGGCATGCCATGACCCCACACACCATGGCATGCCATGACCCCACACACCATGGCATGCCATGACCCCACACACCATGGCATGCCATGACCCCACACACCATGGCATGCCATGACCCCACACACCATGGCATGCCATGACCCCACACACCATGCGGTGGCAGGTCGGTGTGTGGTGAAGGGCGATGGCACGGCCAAGGTGGGGCGCATCGCCACGCTGCCTCAGTTCCGCCGCCAAGGAGTGGGGCGCGCCATCATGCACTGCATTCACGTACGTGCTGCCATCATGCTCTGCATTCACGTACGTGCTGCCATCATGCACTGCATTCACGTACGTGCTGCCATCATGCTCTGCATTCACGTACGTGCTGCCATCATGCACTGCATTCACGTACGTGCTGCCATCATGCACTGCATTCACGTACGTGCTGCCATCATGCACTGCATTCACGTACGTGCTGCCATCATGCACTGCATTCACGTACGTGCTGCCATCATGCACTGCATTCACGTACGTGCTGCCATCATGCACTGCATTCACGTACGTGCTGCCATCATGCACTGCATTCACGTACGTGCTGCCATCATGCACTGCATTCACGTACGTGCTGCCATCATGCACTGCATTCACGTTCTGCATGCATTGCATGGGGCTTCCAGATAGACAGTGCAGTGAACAAGGTGCATGACACAACGTCCTTCTCCATCTCATGTCTTCATTTGCAAGTGGGCCTCCTTATCATTCATCCTTCCTTCGCAATAATGCGGAAGCGGGTGTGTCTCATTCATCTCTCCATTCATTGAGAGCATCATCACATGCTGGAGCTAAGACCATGTCTGCCATCCTGTTGGCACAACCTGTGTGTGTGCTAAAAGTGCCATGCCTGTACCGTACGAGCAGGAGCAAGCAGCGAAGCAGGGGTGTGTTCGGAGCACGCTGGGCGCACAGCTGGAGGCAGTGCCGTTCTATGAGCGGCTGGGGTACACGGTGACCTCGGGGGAGGTGTTTCTGGATGCCGGCATCGAGCACGTGGACATGCATCGTGCACTCGTGCCGTGAAACTCTCATCTCACCACGCCATGGGGAGAGCCAAGCCAATGCTGCAAGTATCATAGTTCTGTGTGCACTTGGGGCCAGCAACGCGTTTCTTTTGCACCCTCTGTGATACCGTCTTCGGCTGAATAAAGTAACAATGAGGTGCATGTATGATGTTGATTTTCCAAGCCAGGTAGTTGTCACCCATTTATGTACGGCTGTTGTAACTACTGTTGGGAACGGGTGATGCGCACTGCAACTAGCTGCGTCCTAATAACCTTTATCCCTAAGGAGATAATTTTCACGTCTAAAACAATGGAATATCCACTTCAATTCCTCTATTAATGTTCAAGCATTTTCTAATCCTTGTACTTAGCTCCAAAGGCTCCTTTTTCACCTCAGAACCATCACACTGTAAACAAGGACGTGGGTAGCACGGGTAGCAGAGGAGATGAATGAGCGTAAAAAACATACGAGCAGTGCAAGGCATAGGCATGGCAGCAGCACACGAGCAGCCCCAGCAACGCTGTTCAGCTCAGCAGCTCAGCCCACATGGCAGGCCCAGACCAACAAAGCCCCCCTAACACCCCCAAATGCTCACTCCCCCCCCCCCCCAACACACACTGGCGACCGTGTGTGGTGGTTTGTGTGCACGGACCTGGAGGAACTCGGGCGGCGTGAGGAAGCAGGGCTCGGAGGAGGAGCGAGCGCACACGGGGCGGCGGTTGATGTACCAGTTGAGGTTCTCCGCCGTGCGGAAGCCGATGTTCAGCGAGTACGGGTTCAGCCCCGACAGGCCCGACGCTATGTACCCGAACGATGACATGTCCGACACCAGTAGCTGGTCGCTGGTGCACGCAGAGGAGGGTGGGTGGTGTGGGGTGGGGAGGGTGGGGGGTGGGGGTTCGGGGGTGGGGGTTGGTGGGTGGGAGGGAGGAAGTAAGGGAGAGTTGGGCAGGAATGATGACATGTCTCACACAGGCAGCTGGTCGCTGGCGCTCACCAGGAGGCGAAGGGGGAGGGGGGAGAGGGAGGGGGAGGGGGGGGAGGGACGGGGGACGGGGGAAGGGGGAGGAACGAGGGGATGGGGGGAGGGGAGAAGGGGGGAGGGGGAGGGGGGAGGGGGGAAGGGGGAGGGGGAAGGGGGGGGGAAGGGAGAAGGGGGGAGGGAAGGTTGGAGGGGGGAGAGGGGGGGGGGAGGGAGGGAGGGGGGGGGGAGGGGGGAGGGGGGAGGGGACACGGGTTATTGCGACATTTCAAAGGTCGCGATATACCCGAATGATGACATGTCCGATGCCAGCAGCTAGTCACTGGTGGGCGCCGAGGAGAAGGGGAGGAGCGGGAGGGGAGTTGGGGGGGAGGGGGGATGGGAGGAGGGAAGAAGGGAGAGATAGGCAGGAAAGGGGAAAAGGGGCAGTTGAAGGGGAAAGGTGGACGTGAGATCGACGTGGAGCGTGATGGTGCATTTGACAGCAGGTGGCAGGATGAGGAGAGCGAGCGAGGCAGAGATGGCACGCGGAGAAGGGTGATGGAGCTTTTGGAAAGCTCAATCAGTTCCCAAATGAGAATTTCGAATGGAGGCAGAATGAGGAAGCTGAGTGGCTTCACGGCATACCTGAAGCTGAGCAGCCACATTTCAAGGAAGGCCTTCTCATGCTGCCTCAGCTTCGCTCTCTCCAACCCCTCGTGCCCTTCACTGCACAGAACGCGGGTGCGCACAAGGGCAGCAGCAGCCATGCAGCAAGGCATGCGAGGGTTGCAGGTGGGATCCAGTGTGCACGAGCATTGAGGAGGGAAAAAAAAAGGGCAGGGACGAGAGCAAAATACAAGGACAAGGAGTAGATACTGATTGTGTGAGGACAGGTGCACTTTAGGGGGTGTGAATGCTTCAGTGCATGGTGTGCGTTCCACCTGTGCACAGTGTGAGTTGGAACCAGTGGTGACGCCATGCACTCACAAGTGCCCCTCATCACACCTCACACTCCCACATCGTCATGCACTTCCCCGCCCTTCAAAGCTTCAAACGACGTCTTCGCTTTGCACACGCAATGCCGAGAAATATGTATTACGGATTTCAGAGCAGGGGCGGTGGGCGGTGTGCTCTGCCCCGCCACTGCAAGCCGTGCACTACCAGCACAGCACTTGCCCCTTCCCCCACCCCACTCCCGCTCTGGTCCACCCAGCATCACCCATGTGCATGTGCACGTGCAGTGCATGTGCGAGTGCGAGTGCATGTATCATGCATGCGGTGGCACCTGTGCAGCGCAACAACGGTGCCGTCAACGGTCTCATGGGTGGAGAAGGCCTCGTGCATGTAGTCCATGTGGTGCTGCGACAGGGACGTCAGCAGCACCCCCACCGTGCGCGGGTACGGGTTGCGCAGTATCGCCTGCATGCGCGTGTCCGGCTGCGGGGAGGAGGGGAGCGGGCGGGGTGTGGGGTGGTGGTGGGATGGAGGGGAAGGGGGGGACGGGAGTGGAGGGAGCATGAGATGGGGAAGAGAAGGGGGAGGATGGGCGTAGGCAGGGAGGAGACAGTGCGGGGGTGGGTTATGGGGCGGGGACAGTCGTGTATAGCAGGGGCGTCCTGGGTTCATGGAAGAGGAACGCAGAGGAGGAGAGCGGCACTCAGATAAGAGGTAACCAACAGCGCATGTAACTTGCAAGACAGTCGGTATTTGAATAAATCTAGCAGTGCTCAAAACTCGAGTACCGTTTGAAATCGTACAGGGATGGTGGGACAAAAATTAGCGGCCAATCTTACAGGGATGGTGGAAGGAGAAGGACACAGGTTGAAGAACAGAATGAACATCGGAACTGAACAACAGTATGGCTGCAGCATGCTTCATGCGGTGGTGTGAGTGGCATGGTGCGACTGACATTGGCAGTGAGGGCGTCCCACTGGTCGGCGGAGAAGAGGCGTGGCAGGTACCCCGAGATGTTCACCGCACACTCCAGAATGCGCGGATTCGTGTCCGTGTCCCTCCGGTAGAACGTGCGCACCTGCCATGCCATGCCGTGCCGCATGCACGGGAGAGCATGCGGAGTGGAGGGGAGATGGGAAATGTAGGACAAAGGAGTAGATGGAGTGATGACCAGAGTGATTAGGATCAGCGGTTATCATGGCACGACACAGCAGAGCAGAGCAGAGCAGAGCATGGCACGGCACGGCCCTGCACTGCACCGCACGGCACGGCACAGCACCGCACCGCACCGCACAGCACGGGTGTGTGTGTGCGCGGTGGCACGGCGTGGCGGCGCACCTGGATGCCGACGCGGCGGTTGTGGTGCTTGAGGTGCGCGTGGAAGACGCGTGTGATGCGCTGCCACAGGTAGTTGGCCGGCTGCAGTGTGGCGCGCGCCATGTGCAGAAACACCCTCCCGTCTGGGAACCACTTCTGCAGCCGCGCCTGTAACGGTGCGAGGAGGAGGAAATGGGTGACGAGGGGCGCGCGCGGGCAGCGGAGGGATGCAGGTGAGCGTCAGGAGGGGTGAGTGGAGGAGAGTACGGGTGGGGAGGGGAGAATGCGGAGAGAAGGAGGGTTGGTGAAGTGAGAGAAAAGAGTGAGGGTAGAAACGAGAGGCAAAGAGTGAGGCGAGAGAAAAAAGGCATGGAAAGGAGAGTCAATGAGTACAGTGAGATGGGTGCAGGAGAGAGAAGAGGGACCCCATGGGGCCATGAATGGTGATCAGCACTGCCACAAAGATGGAAGGCGGAAGGCAGAAGTAGTGCTGGGGCAAAAGGAAGTTTCCGTTAGGGGCGCACTTCCTGCACCCATGTCACAAGAGGAACACATGCCATGCCATGCCATGGCACGGTACAGCATGGCATGTCATGGCATGGCAGCATGTGAGTGCATGCGCGTGAGTGCATGTGTGTGAGCGCATGCGTGAGTGTGTGTGAGTGCATGCGTGTGAGTGCATGTGTGTGAGTGCATGCGCGTGAGTGCATGTGTGTGAGGGCATGCGTGAGTGTGTGTGAGTGCATGCGTGTGAGTGCATGTGTGTGAGTGCATGCGTGTGAGTGCATGCGTGTGAGTGCATGCGTGTGCGTGTGAGTGCATGCGTGTGAGTGCATGCGTGTGAGTGCATGTGTGTGAGTGCATGCGTGTGAGTGCATGCGTGTGAGTGCATGCGTGTGAGTGCATGCGTGTGAGTGCATGCGTGTGAGTGCATGCGTGTGAGTGCATGCGTGTGAGTGCATGCGTGTGAGTGCATGCGTGTGAGTGCATGCGTGTGAGTGCATGCGTGTGAGTGCATGCGTGTGAGTGCATGCGTGTGAGTGCATGCGTGTGAGTGCATGCGTGTGAGTGGGGGGGGGGCATGTGACCTGCAGGGTGGGCAGCAGGTAGAAGCCAGGCACAGTGTACTCATCCGTGTAGAACGCCACAAACCGCGCCTCCTCTATCGCCGCCTGCACTCCCGGACAGAAGAACTTCCAGTCCTCCTCACCGTACCTGGGGAGGCGGAGAGGGGAGGCGGGGCAAGAGTGGCGCATGGCATGATCAAGGGGGTGCACGAGTGGCGAGAGGGGCTATCGTTGTCACATCCACGACGTGCAAATTGCTGCTGGGGCAGCCCAGGCACGTGGGCGAGGGAGGAGGGAGCCAGTGCGGGGAGATGCACCTGCCGTTTGTCTCTTCCAATTTACCCTCTCGTGTCTCGCACCACCTTGCAATGCAAACTTGTTCTCTCACAATCTTCTTTTTCCACGGGCAGACGAACATTTGTGAAAGCATTTTTTAAGGTGCGCATGCCCGGAAGCTTACCTTACCTTACCATGCCCCTGACATAGTAGCAGGGGTGGAAAAAGGGAGAGGGGTGGATGAGTGCATGTGTGCGTGTGCATTTGTGCACGTGTGCATGTGTGCATGTGTGCATGTGTGCATGTGTGCACGTCTGCATGTGTGCACGTCTGCATGTGTCCACGTCTGCATGTGTGCATGCATGCATGTGTGCACGTCTGCATATGTGCACCTGTGCATGTGTGCATGTGTGCATGTGTGCGTGTGTGCGTGTGTGCGTGTGTGCGTGTGTGCGTGTGTGCGTGTGTGCGTGTGTGCGTGTGTGCGTGTGTGCGTGTGTGCGTGTGCGCATGTGCGCATGCATGTGCGCATGTGCGCATGTGCGCATGTGCGCATGTGTGCATGTGTGCATGTGTGTGTGCATGTGTGCATGTGTGCATGCATGCCAGTGCGCGTACGAGAAGCGGAGGTCAGCGAATGCGGCCTTCTTGCTCCACTGAGTGCCGTTGGCCGCCATGCGAGCAAACTCCGCCACTCGCGGCTGCTTCTGAAACATCAGGTACACGTGCCTGCCAGGGGGACATGCACACAACCACAAACACACGCATCAACAATGGTTACACAACCGGAAGAGAGTATTTCCATCGAAACCGGACCAAGTCGAACCGCTCTGGGGTGCGAGCAGCCGTATGATTCAAGCCGACAGAGGTTCAACGGGCTGTATTGAGCTCGTCCCGACATCCACTCACTAACTGACATTTTCTTTTAGCTGTTTCTTTGATGTTTCAATTTCTGGGTAAACGGTTTCGTCTGTTCGCTGCATTGTTCCATGTGCAAGAACAGTGTGAAAGCTCCTAGAGTGGTGGCGAGGATGGTGAAGGAAGAAAGGGAGAAGTGGAAGCAGGCAAATGGGGTCCAACGGCATTACAGCCCGCAAGAGCATCCCGACGCAGCGTGCGCCGGCCAGGTTCACTCGTGTCACACCCAGGCAGGCCCATTCGACCGACACAGTTTGACCGAGCAAAAAAAAAAGGCTTGGTTGGACATGTGACGAACGGGCTCAAACAGTTGACCATGCGTACATCCATTAGGCTGGCAGATGTGCCGCGCACTTCACAGCTGGCAGAACAGGAACTTCGATTTCATCAAACCTTGATGCAATCCCCCCATGCTCATTGCCCCACTCCTCCCTCCCTGCCCGCACCCCTTGCTCCAAGGCCACGTTTCCCCACCTCCAGTGCCTCCCCCCCTTCCCCTCCAGCAAGCATGGGCGGGAGAGTGGGGCGTCACTCACTTGTAGTGGCGGGCGGGGATGGCCCAGTTGGAGTCGTCAAAGGGGTTGCAGAGGAACGACGCCACGTCCGTGCCGGGCGCCAGGATGATGGCGCGGTTGGTCAGCAGGCTGTACGTCATGGCTGATATCAGTGACATTAGGTTGTTGCCCAGGCCTTGGCGGGGTGTATGGGGGTGGGGAAGGGGGGGGAAGGGGTGGGTGCGAGAAAGGGAAAAAGGGAACCCGGGTAGGGGAGGGTTTAGGGCGAGGATGATGGCGCGGTTGGTGAGCAGGCTGTACGTCATGGCTGATACCAGCGGCATCAGACTGTTGCCCTGCCAGCCCTGGGGGAGGAGTGGGGTGTGGGGGGGAAGGGAAGGGGGAAGGGAAGTGGGAGGCAGGGACGCGGAGAGCAAAGGGGTTGACAAGGATGTGCGGAAAAAGGTGAGGGGGGATTGACTAAGCCAGAACGGTGTGATGGCTTGAGCGGTTTCCGTGAATCGTGGTGGGGCATGTTGCATGATGCACAGTGCATGGCAACCAGCCAGCTCTGCGCATCACATGTGGTCAACAGAAACCCGTTGTGGGAGCCCCTTTCATCAAGCCATGCCATATTCATGCTAGGTGCGGTGTAGCATGCTGCATGGCAGTATGTGTGTGTGTCCACCCTACATATCCATCCCCATGCACGCACTCTGTGCATGCATCGTCGCTGGCGTGTGTATAAGCACAAGCAAAAGGTCATGTGCGTATAACCCACACCTCCATCCACACATGCATCCACCATGCATCCACCATGCATCCACCATGCATCCACTACACTATGACATGTACCCATGGTGGAAACCCCACACATGGCAGGTTATTGAGTTCACACGGACGCACACAGCCATGGTAGCATGGCATGTCGTAAAGCACCTCCAAGCCCATAGCCATGCGTGGCCCGCACACCCCTCTCACCGCACAGCCCTCTCACCGCTTAGCCCGCTCACCCGCATAGCCGGGCGCCATCCAGAAGAGGTACTTGCAGCCTTCCACGTCTGCATTGGGGTGTTGCCCGTTGTCCCTGGGAGGCATGGCAGGCATGGCATGGCAGGGCATGGCATGGCATGGCATGGCATGGCAGGGCATGGCATGGCATGGCATGGCAGGGCATGGCATGGCATGGCATGGCATGGCAGGGCATGGCAGGGGTTGCAGCACAAATACGGAGAGGGGGAAGGGGGTTGAAGAGAGTTGGACGGGGAAAGAATGAGGAGGGAGGTGGCAGCGACTAGATGGATAGGTGGATAAGTGGATGGATGGATGGATGGATAAGTGGACAAGTGAGATGCATGGGCCAAGTGAGATGCATGGGCCAAGTGAGATGCATGGGCGGGGCGGAGAGAGGGAAGCGGCGGGGGGCAGAGTGTGGCGGGTTGGGGAGGGGAGGGGCGGGCTGACTTGTCACGGAAGAAGGCCTCCCAGTCTTTGACGCCGTTGACACAGCGCGCATGCATCTTGCGGTACTCCACCAGCGCCTCCAGGAACGATGCCTCCGTGCGCACCTTCACCGCCTGCCCGCCCAGGGGGGGGAGAGAGAGGGGGGGGCAGCGCAGGAGGGGGAGAGGGGGGCAAGAGGGGATGGAGGTGGCAGGGAGGAGAGCAGAGGAGGCATGGTTGGCCATGGAGAGCAGAGCGTGAGTGGGGCATGGGCGGGAGTGGAGGGGGGCAGGGCACTTGGGTGCGGTGTGGTGGACGCATGGGTGAGTGGCTGGGGTGGTGGTAATGGGCGGGTGTGGTGGGTGGGTGGCACACTGTGAGCGAGGGCGTGTAGTGCGCAGGTGAGGTGCCGCAAGGCCATGCAGCGAGGGAGAAACGGGGCAGGGGGAGAGGGGAGGGGGGAGGGGTAGGGGCAAGAAGGACGGAGATTAATGGGACATTGGGGCGAGGGAGACGGGTGGTGAGTGGGTGATGAGCGGAAGGTGAGGTGCGAATATTGGGGTGGGACTGGGTGTTGGGAAGGGAGGCGGGAAGACCCTCGGCTTGGGGGGGAGGAATGAGAGGGATGAGAGGGATGAGAGGGATGAGAGGGATGAGAGGGATGAGAGGGATGAGAGGGATGAGAGGGATGAGAGGGATGAGAGGGATGAGAGGGATGAGAGGGATGAGAGGGATGAGAGGGATGAGAGGGATGAGAGGGATGAGAGGGATGAGAGGGATGAGAGGGATGAGAGGGATGAGAGGGATGAGAGGGATGAGAGGGATGAGAGGGATGAGAGGGATGAGAGGGATGAGAGGGATGAGAGGGATGAGAGGGATGAGAGGGATGAGAGGGATGAGAGGGATGAGAGGGATGAGAGGGATGAGAGGGATGAGAGGGATGAGAGGGATGAGAGGGATGAGAGGGATGAGAGGGATGAGAGGGATGAGAGGGATGAGAGGGATGAGAGGGATGAGAGGGATGAGAGGGATGAGAGGGATGAGAGGGATGAGAGGGATGAGAGGGATGAGAGGGATGAGAGGGATGAGAGGGATGAGAGGGATGAGAGGGATGAGAGGGATGAGAGGGATGAGAGGGATGAGAGGGATGGGAGGGATGGGAGGGATGGGAGGGATGAGAGGGATGAGAGGGATGCGAGGGATGAGAGGGATGAGAGGGATGAGAGGGATGAGAGGGATGAGAGGGATGAGAGGGATGAGAGGGATGAGAGGGATGAGAGGGATGAGAGGGATGAGAGGGATGAGAGGGATGAGAGGGATGAGAGGGATGAGAGGGATGGGAGGGATGGGAGGGATGGGAGGGATGAGAGGGATGAGAGGGATGAGAGGGATGAGAGGGATGAGAGGGATGAGAGGGATGAGAGGGATGAGAGGGATGAGAGGGATGAGAGGGATGAGAGGGATGAGAGGGATGAGAGGGATGAGAGGGATGAGAGGGATGAGAGGGATGAGAGGGATGAGAGGGATGAGAGGGATGAGAGGGGCACACGAGCGACAAGGAAGAATTTAGTAGGGCAGGGCCCGAGAGTAAAGGTAGAGGGCAGGACAGTGGAGGGGGGGTCCTGGGTTGGTGTCAGTGCAGAGGGCGAAAGAGGGACCCGTGCCACCGGGTGGCGGTGGTGAGGTAATTGCGGTAAGGGGATAGGTCAGGTGAGGCAGCACAGTGGCGCGATATGTGAGGCAGGGGAGCGGGAGAGGAAAGAGGCTGATATGGAACGAGCGAACGAGGGGTTTTGAAGGACGAGAGTAGTTTCGGAAGGAAAAGGATAACTCAAGAGGGCGTCGGGAAGCGGAGGGGTTGGCGTGAGGGATAGTGAGGGCGACTGAGAGGGGGCTGGGCTGGCGGCGGGGGTGGCGGAGAGGGAAGGGGAAGGGAGGGAGAGGGAGGGGAAGGGGGGGAGGGGGAGGAGGAGAAGGCTGGGTGGCAGTGGGTGAGCGACATTCTTGACCAGGGAGCTGGTGTGAGAGGGGCAGCAGCACGCCAGTACCATCCCTACGCATCTCATACCCCCTGCCCAATTTGCCCCCAGCTCGCTATCTCGCCCACTCGCCACAGCAAAGCCCGCCCCTGCTGCACGGCACAAGGCGCGGCGGGCGGCAGTGGAGGCGAGTCAGCGCCATGCTCCTACACACGTTCCTTCCATCAATGCCCACATGCCCGCTACCTCCCCCTCCCCCCACCCATCTCGATTCCCCCATAGTACTCTATACGTCACGCTCACATGTCACACCTTTCTACGCTCCCCTCCCTTGTCCCCCACGAAACGAGCATCGCCACCCATTAGCGTGCGCAAGCATCCCCCCACGTCCCCCGCGCACCGTCCAGTACATCTTCGCCTCGGTTCGGCTCCAGCACGTGCCGGGCGCGCGCCGAGGGTGGTGGCGCGGCAGGAACGACATGCTCAGGCCGCGCCGCCGCGACGGCTCCCTCGCATCCATCCGCGATAGTAGCATGTCCGGGCGCCGCTCGCATGCGTGCGACGTCGTCGCTAGCGGCTCCTGCGACGACCTCCGCCCCTCGGCTGTCTCCGTCGCATCCACGCCGCGCGCGATCAAATCACCCGCGCTGCGTCTCGCCATACCCGATCCATCTAAATGCGAGCTCTCAAACGATCCGAATCGCGCATCGACGTCGCTAAGATCGTCTCTGTCGACTACGCGCTGCCAGCTGTCGGTGGCGTCTCGACCGCGGGAACGCACGAACGGGCCGCGCGATGCACTAGCGGCGCGCGGAGCGGGAACGAGCAAGATGAGGAGGAGTAGGGTCACCGCGAAGATAGACACGAGTGCGCTGCGTGGCATCCACCGATCGGCGTGTGTCCGCCATCTACATGTTCGAACCGCCCACCCTCTGCCACGCGCCATGGCACGGAGCCGTCGCGAGATGGTTGTCAATGCCACGATTGCACAGCGATCATACGCAAAAGCCTATGTTATGATACTGCTGGAAAACAGGCCCGGGTGAATTCGCGCCACAATGTGCAGTTTGAAACGAAAGTTTGATGGAAACTACTATGGCGGTTGGTAGGACCATCTGGGGTATTTCAGTCTGGTGTACAGGAGAGGAGGCAGCAAGTCGGATGAGGAGATTGGTGGGCGGGGCTCGATGCATGGCGGATGGAAGGTGCGAAGAACGAAGAGGTGATTGGCGAAACCTGTAGCATCCTCGTGTGATCTCGTCTCGCTTCGCGGGTTCGCAGAAGCGGGAAAGGTTTCCATCGATGTCACCAGCTGGATGTGCCGAGGCAGCCGTTGGATTTGATCAGAGTGTGGCAGCAACACTGCAGCATGCTCTCGTGGGATTCAAAGGCTGACGGAGACCGGAGCTGACCACTCAGGCGTTTTTGTGATTGCACCGCCGACAAGTCTTGATCGTCAAAAAGTTGGAAGATTGTTACATCTCAGGTGAGAGCAGGTTTCGTGAACTGGTTGGAAATACAGCCTACCACCTGATCTGGTGGTAACAGAGCGCCTGCCGACGCGGAAGGGCAGAACCTCCTGCAGTCAAACCTTCACCGGCCGTAACGCCAACAGCTGCACACATTGCTAGGGCAAATGCCCTCAATTAAAACCGAAATGCAAAATAGTGAACCCAAACCCAACTTGAAAGAGCGCAGGGACGAGTTTCCCGGGCGAAACAAATTTTGGACTGGCCTAAGAAGTTTCTACCGTTTCAAAAGCTGCGGCGTGCAAATTGAACACCTTTGATTGGTTCCCGCCAAAAGTAAAACATTTTGGGGATATTAGCGTCGCATTTCTCATTTCGCACGACAATTGCATAGGCGATCGTTTCAGTCTGTCCAAGCGATTTGGGCTCAGGTCATGTTTCAAGTTGGAATGGGGAGGACTGCTACCAATTTTGCGTCACAAGTTAGAAGTAACTAGGTTAGGCATAGGCTATGTCTGGACTTAGGCCGTCGTTATCTCGACATGTATTAATCAGAATGTCCGTCGTGTTGTATTCGAAAGCTATGAGTGTAAGCTTTCCAGTCCGGCCTTTTGCGCTCTCGTTCTTTCGTCCCGTCGTTCACGCGATCTCTTCTCGCCTTCTTTACCCACGCGATCACTTCTCCTGCCCCATAGCCCTCATGTTCCCCCGTCCAGTCACCTGCCCATTTTGCCGACCCATCGTCCTCCCGTTCCGTTGCGTTCGTCGTCGCCCATCCCGTCGCGCATCCTCTCTCCCATTCCGTCGCTCCCATCGTCGCCCTCGCCAACGCCCCGAAACTCCTTTTCGTCGCGCATCCTCTCTCCCATTCCGCGCTCGTCGCCTTCGCCAACGCCCCGAAACTCCTTCCTGTTGCGCATCCCCTCTCTCCCATCCCGTGTGTTGCCCTCGTCGCCCTCGCCAACGCCCCGACACTCCCTCCCTAGGCCCTTCCTCTCTCCCATCCCGTCGCTCCCCTCGTCGCCCTCGCCAACGCCTCGAAACTCCCTCCCTAGGCCCTTCCTCTCTCCCATCCCGTCGCTCCCCACGTCGCCCTCGCCAACCCCTCGAAACTCCCTCCCAAAGCCCTTCCTCTCTCCCCATCCCGCGCTGCAAGTTTCACCTTCTCTAAAGGCATGTTACATTTTTTTCAATTCTGCCCATCCAGCCATTCATTTTAATGGTTACATTTGCACTCCTAGTTGCAACTTCTCGTTAATACTCATGCGACGTTGTTAACGACCGGACCGCTGATGGAACATTTTGCATGACATTGCCCTCCTAAGTTGTCAAGGCGAAGCCCTGCACGCGACTGATTTCGCGTATAGCACCCTTATGCGGAGTAGCGAGGTTTCGCATACCACATACCAGAGCTTCGGTATCCGCCGAGTACTGTTAAGGCGAAGCCCTGCACGCGCCTGGTTTGCGTGTAGTAGCCCTATGCGAAGTAGCGAGACTTTGCATACCGCATACCGGTTTTACCTGAGTTGCGGTATTCGTCGAGTACACTCCAAAAGTGCACTGTTCAACACTGAACCGAATTGGAGGGAAGTGACGACAATTGCGCAAACGCGGATGTGCAACTGTCAGTGTTGTAAGAACCTGCGCAACTACTCCTGGGCAGGTAGAAATACACCTGATGGTATTTTCACCTGACGGTACTTTCACCTGGCAGTGCCAACATGAAAGCCGCATACTAGAGTAGGTGCTTGCACGTTCTCCTTGAACAACGTTCTTCATGAACAACGTTCTCGTAGAACGTTCTCGCACACGTCACTATGCCTCTCTGTAAGGTTCATGTTGTTTCTGTTGTAATCAATCAATTAATGAAGTTCTTTCTTCCGTTACTGCATACCAAGTTTGGCATCAGTATTCGGTTTCCAACAAGTCCGTATTTGGTTTACACGTATCCGGTTTGCAACTCTGCGCCTATCCTCTCCCACAATCGCCTATTCTCCGCGTGGTGCGATGAGTGTGGACACATACGCGAACTTCGAATAGCCTCGTATACGATTGACGAAGTTGTCAACTGTTGAATAGGAGGCTAAGGAAAGCCTAGGGTTTAGTCTTAGGAAGGTTGCGAGAGGAAAGGCAAGCCAAAAGAGGAGTTCAATAGTAGAGGGCATACAAGATATTGGCAAGGAATTTGGCAAGTGGTACACCACCTAGCAAGAAACTAAGATAACTACACTAGGTACTGTAGGCAATTATAAGAATGTATACAAATACATTCCAACACTCCCCCTAAATGCCTACAATGGAAACCTGTGTGTAGCACAAAGCCTGCAGGGGTACACCAGGTGCAGTGGAAGAAGCAGCAGCAGGCAATAACAGTGGCAGCCAGTGCATTAGTGGCAAATACAGCTGCAGCACGCCTTCAGGCAAGTCAAAAGTAGTAGCAGGTGTAGGGGCGGCAGGTCGCCTGAGGAGCAGGCTCTGTGGCTGCAACGTGCAGCAGGACAGCAGCGGCTCGACGGCAGCACCTGCAGGCCCCAGCAGCAGGCAGCAGAAACAAAGGCAGGTGGCGGTAGGGGCGGCAGCAGGAGGTGCCATGGTAGCAGCGGGTGACAGCTGCAGATGCCTGGTTGCCTTCCGCCACCCTCTCTTACCCTCCACCCCACAGCTGCACGAGCGGCAGTGAGAGAGAGAGGAGGGGCGGCTGCTGGCTTTGCAGAATCTCTCTCGCCATCCTCACACACTCCCCCCGTTTCCCCTCACCCTCCCCCCCCCCCCCAAGCAGCAAGTGCGGCAGTGGGAGAGAGAGGAGGAGGGGCGGCAGCAAATCACTCACACCCGCCACCCCCATACCCTCCCCCCCACTGCCGCACGCGCAGCAGGGAGATGAAGGGGAAGGGGGGGCGGGGTAGGAGGTGCGCGGGCGACAGCAGGGCGCGCTGGCGGGCAGAATCCGTCGCGCGTCCAGGGCGCGCGACGGGCAGAAACCGTCGCACGCCCGGGGCGCGCGACGGGCAGAGAACCGTCGCACGCCCGGGGCGCGCGACGGGCAGGAAACCGTCGTGCGTCCGGGGCGCGCGACGGGGACGAAATCGCCGCACGCCCGGGGCGCGCGACGAGCAGAAAATCGACGCGCACCCGGGGCGCGTGGCGGGCAGAAAACCGACGCGCGCCCCGGGCGCGCGACGGGCAGCAGAGAGGCCCATGAGCGGAAGCGTAGTGGTGGGCCCTATGAGACAGGTCCTAGGAGAAACCTTGCTCTGATACCATGTTGAATAGGAGGCTAAGGAAAGCCTAGGGTTTAGTCTTAGGAAGGTAGCGAGAGGAAAGGCAAGCCAAAAGAGGAGTTCAATAGTAGAGGGCATACAAGATATTGGCAAGGAATTTGGCAAGTGGTACACCACCTAGCAAGAAACTAAGATAACTACACTAGGTACTGTAGGCATTTATATGAATGTATACAAATACATTCCAACATCAACCTTGGCCAGCAGCCACACGATTCCGTATGGCAGGCAAGGGCGCCGCTACGGAAGTCATGGACCTGGAGGCGAAGGTCGCTGCTTTGCGGGAGCGCCATAGCGATGGCGAAATCAGCGCCCAGGATCATGAGCTGATGATCGAAGGATCTCGTTTGAAGTGGGCTCGCGATCACCCACCTCACGCTGAGGCAGAAATTGAGTCTGCTTCTCCCCGTGCTGAAGGCAACAACGTCAACCGCGATGGCAATGAAGGCGCAAGAGTTACGCGCAGTGAACTGCGTGGGGCCGTCAGAGTGAACGCCGCGAGCGTCGGTGGAACACAAGCGCAAGTCCTTCGGTCTGCAGCTGCAGCGAGTGCGCGTAGTGACGCGCATGGTTATCACAACTCTGCACGACAAAGTGGTGGCGGACCCTCGTGGACAGCAAAAGTGTCATCTGTACGCGATGGTGGCATCGCTCCGGAATACGGATACTTCAAGTTTTCACCCGACAACATTGTCGTGCCGAAGCTACTTGAAAGGCGTCACGACTTGACAACGTGGGTCGAGTCCATTGAGCCGCAGCTGGAAATCGCAAAGTTGAAGAAGTTCGTTGACGGAACGGTGGAGGTGCCGCCTGAGGAGGATGCGGAACGGCGCGCACAGTTCCATTCTGCACAGCTGTTGACATTTATGGTCATCTCAAGGTGTTGCTCGCCGGTCGTCCAAGTTGCATTGAAGCCATGCCGTCTTCGTGTTGACGCATGTTTTCAAGCTTGGCAATTCATTATGAAGACCTACAAGGCAACGGATGACCTTTACATCGGCCAGCTGGAACAACAGTTGACAAATTTGGAGATGGGGGAGCACGAGAGCACAACCGCATACTGCAATCATGCACAACTGATACTTGCAGATCTGCGCATGGCCGGCGTCGACTACGCAATGTCTTCGTACGTTACACATGTCATCAAAGGTCTTCCTGCAAGCTACAATCTCTTTCGTCGAATGGTGAAACTCCCGGGTGTACGCGAAAAGCTTGATGAGGATACGTTTTCCAGCTACATCACTGAGGAGGAGTTCACACTCGAATCCGAGCGGCGTAAGGAGTAGCTTCTCCCTCAAGTTAACTATTTCGCATCGAAGAAGCAGCGGCTGCAACAGGAGTGGGCGAAATCGCGCGGAGGAGGCGACAATGACAACCAAGTCAACTGCACGAAAACGACCAAGGGCGACGAGCGTTCTGGTGGCGGAAAGCGCAACTCTCAACGATATTGCTTCGTTTGTGGAGATCCCGACCACTTCGCGAACCAGTGCCCCGACCGCGTCGTCAAGGAGGGTGGCAATGGTCATGAAGCTCCGCGCGGACGATCGCAAAACCGTCAACCTCGTCACAAAACTGAGGAGATTAACTCTACAATGGTGGGAGCTAGACTACAGGGTTGGAACAAGTTGTAGGAGTGATCATAGCTCTGTCAGTGTTCTTAGGACTTGTGTTTTCTCAGGGCAAAACGACAAGAATTCCACTAAGGAAATGTTGAGAATACAAAGTTCAGAATGAGCAAACAATGGCAAAGATTGACTACATCACATGCAAGGTTTGCTAGTGCTCAGGCAGGTCGACTGCCAGCGTGACAGAGTTGTAACGCCAACGTAGCAACTCTGCGGTCCGCCAACGCAGCTCGTACGCGACTTGCCAATGCTGCAGATGGTGGCTTGCTAGCGCTGCATTTGCGCGGCTTGCCAACGCAGCATCCACGCGGCTTGCCAACATTGCATCCGCAGGTGATTGTTAGCACATGTGCAAGCACCTACTTTGCAGGTGCTTGTAGACAGTTATGCACAACGTGCACTGTCAAGTACATTGCGCAGGTTGTCAGCCACATGCTGACGGTTGCACATGATGAGCCACGTCGACCACGTGCTGCCACGTCAGTCGACTTCGCCACAGCAGCCTCGACGACGTTCGCACACCTTCGCGCACTCGGCGAGCAGGTAACTTGGTCAACCAAATGAAGTCCTTGACATCTCTGCAGGATGATGACCTTCGTCATCACCGGTTGACGACCTTCGTCGCCGCGGGTTGACGACCTTCGTCATTGCTGCTCGACGACCTTCGTCGAGCACCTTTGTTGAGCACCTCGGTTGACATTTCATATTGTCAGCCCCTGATTGGTCGAAATTAGGGCACATTCGAATTTCTGGCCAAAATTCGCCTGTGCAGTCTCAAGGTTGCGCAGGGTCAGACGCGACCCTGCGCAGACGAACACCCGCGAACTTCTGCACGAGCTGCGCAACTTGTACATGCGCACGGGAAGTCTGTGTTGCACTCGCGGATGCTTCAGTTACTCTTGCATGGATTCCCTAGTACACCTCGTGTACAGGCAACCCTTGTACACCTGTAGAAGGTCGGCTGCACCTCCCGCACACCCGACCAGGAAGTGAATTTGCCCATGCGAGGGCGGGGCCAATTTCCTTCAACAAAAACCGCCTACCGCGAGGACAACCAGCACTCTGATTCCGAGGACAAGC